TATTATAAACATATTTCCTTTTGCAGTGCTGTTTTTGGATTTTGCAGCTAAAAAGATGTGATCGTTAATAGTAAATTAAATTCCCTACAATGTATTCAAGTGAATTTCATACTTTGCCACATGTTCTTCTCATTTCAAACTTTAGAGTTGGTCTAGAAATCTGTAAATAATCATGACATGACAACTTTTACAAAAGTTTCCTTGATATGTTTGCTAAATAAAAGAAAGAAAGGAAAAAAGGAGTAGAAAATAGGGATATTTGAAGTATACATATCACACAATATCATCAAGATTGTTTCATAGATTCTTCTGTTTTTCACAATTTTTTCTCTCATTTTTCCTTTTCTTTTTCAAAAAGTATGAATTTGAAGGCAGTGAACCACACAAGAATGCAGTTTGAACACAGAAAAAAACTTCCAAAATGTTGTTAAAAAATATTGTTGAAGTAAACCTCATCCAATACTATTTCAATTCAGAATAAAATCAAAGCTCTAAATATAAATTTATATTTATATACATGTATATATAAAGCTCTGAAAATGAATGGCTTTGAATAGGACAGAAGCTATTTTGATAATGTAAAGGGTTCTGGTTTTGTGTAACTCTATTAAACTTCACAGTAGTCTGATGTGAACACAGAGATGGGGCACTACTAAATACTTTCACAGTTGTTCCTCGGCATCAAACCATGTCGTAATGAAAAGCTTCCACATTGTCAAATGCACAGGAAATAGAGAATAGAAGGCCTAGTATTTCCGTTCTTTCAAACTCATGCTCCCCCATCCCCCCCCCCCCTCCCATCCACACACAAACACTGTATGCATTTTAACTTAAACTTTTTTAAATAATTCTTTTAAAAATAAAGAGCGAGTTTCCACATTGTTAAATGCACTGGAAATGAAGGAGGCCTACATTTGTACATGTAGTATTCGAACCCATCCCACCTACCCACACACACACGCACACACACAACCACCCACTCTCTGTCTTTCCTCTCTTAAAAACAACTTTTTTAATTTCTTTTTTGAAAAAAAGTTTCCACATTGTCAAATGCACATGAAATACAAAATAGGGGTTCAAGTATTTTGGTTCCTTCAAACTCATGCCCCCCCCCCCCATCCACACACAAACACACATACATTTAAACTTAAACTTTTGTAATATAATTCTTTTACAAATAAAGAGCGAGTTTCCACATTGTTGAATGCACTGGAAATGATCAAGTAGTACTCAAACCCATCCCACCTAACCATACACATAGACACAAACTTTCTGTCTTCCCGTTCTTAAAAACTTGCTTCTTCAATTTGTTTCTTCTTGCAAACGAAACGTTTCCATATTGTCAAATGCACATGAAATACAGAATACGAGTTCAAGTATTTCGGTACTTTCAAACTCATGCCCCCCCCCCCTCCACACACAAACAACCAAATACCCCCTGTCTTCCCTTTTTTTTTTAAACCTTGAACTTCTTGAAAACTATTTCTTAAATAATGAAAAGCAAGCTTCATGCACATTGTCAAATGCACAGGAAATAAAGGAGGCCTGGGGGTGTTTCACAAAGATCCCAAGTCAAACTCTAATTTGGACATACAAATTATGGAGAGCCATCTGTAGCCTTAAAATAAAATACATTATAAATCAAAAATTCTACTGTTTTAGAAATATCCTTGATAATGGAAAATATGAATGATTTGAATTAACATTTTATGCTTTTCAAAATAACTTTTACAAAATATTTTCAAAGATGCTAACGGCTTTCCATAATTGTTAAGTCCAACTTAGAGATAAGATCAACCCAGGATCTTTGTGAAACACCTCCTGGTATTCAAACTCATCCATCACTTCAAACATGCACACACATCCACCCTTCTTTGTCTTCCCTTTCTTTGAAACAAAAACTTTATTCAAATTAGACCTAAACTTTTTCAGTTTTTTCTTCTGATATTTGAAAGAATGAAACACTAAACGTTCCTATTCCCCCACACCTGTTTGAGGAGAAGGAAGTCTGCAATATGCCGTTTAGTCCTAGGAATAGAGAATGCATGGTGTAGTCTACATGGGGGTTATTCCCTAAATTTAGAGGCATTTCAACAGAGCCCCCCCCCCCCCCCCTCCTCTTAGGTTATGAGTAACCCCACTTCCTTCCTGCTATATACCTTCAAGTCCATCATAAAACCTTGTCGAGATGATCAACCCTTTCTCTTTTATTTATGGATGGAATTGAGGTTTTACTTACCGGTATTTATTTTTAGATATAAGATTTTAATTTTTTTTTTTTTAATTCACTTGTATTTAAACAATTAAAGGCTGCGAATTGAATGGCCATGGGGGTGTTTCACAAAGATCCTAAGTTGAACTTATCTCTAAGTTGGACTTAAAAATTATGGAAAGCTGTTAGCATCTATGATCATTTTTAGTAAAAGTAATTTTAAAAGGCATAAAAGGCATAAGTTTCAATGAGAAATGTGTAAAATAGAGAAAAGGTAGTATTTCTATCCAGATGGTAATTATTAAGCAGGTCAGACTGCATGATTACGGTATATTTAATGATAACTTAGAACAGCACAAAAAGCAGTATTTATCTCACACAAACCTGACATCTTTCTTGCACAGGATGGATGAATCGATTGCAAGAATTCCTTCCGACATTACAGCTAATTTCTGGGATTTCATCGTCTAATTAATGTCTTCCACGCGCACATTCTTCGAGCTCATGTTTGATAATGTAATCTGGCCTTTGACTAATCACTTCTGTGTATTTTCTTGGCACAAACACGGAATTACCTCCTGCGCAGGATTGTGTTCCTAATTTCATGTGCATGAAAACAGGTAGTGCAGAGGATGCCGTCTTTCACAAGACCCCTTTCACACCAGACGTGGTAAACTGTAATATTGTTTTTAAAAAACATAACATTGTGGCAAAGTGGGTTGTATACCACAGTTACTCCTGCAACAATTGCTCCGTGGTAATTTTCCTACACTAACCCAATTCCCAACTTCGACCCTTGACCCAACATTATACCTATACCCTAACCTTAATCCTAAAACTAATTTGAAAGCTAAATCTAATTCCAATCCTTACCCTAATCCCATACCTGTCAGTGCACTTTGCAAAGTAAACTATTTTACTTGTAAGTGAACGCACAGGAGGGGTTACAAACAAGACCAAGATTTCTCTGGATATTTTTCTTGACCAAATATCCCACTAATTGCAACTGCAGGCTGATGAAGACTCAAATTAAATGGCTAATTCGAGTTCAGGATAGTTAAAGTTGCGGGTTATTTGGCAAGCTGATGAAGACAGGCCTTTTGTGTGCATCATTTCTACCATTATTATCAATCTGTTTGTATTTGTATTTGAAATCCAACCTCAAGTTCTATTTTGCTACTGGAGTTTCTTCAGAACATTTACGGCATCGGGTGTAAACGGGACCCAACAGGTTGACAACCCAGTTTCACTGCCTCGTCTTTCCATCCTGAAACAGGATGGTTTAATTCTTTTATTCGCCCACTCCTTCGCCCAATGTTTGGAGGAAAGCCAGTTTGTGTAGGGCAGCTCATGTTGTTTTTCTCCCAAATCGCAGGAATAACAGACTGTACTTTTTGATGACAATGATAACTTTCTTAAAGGTGGTATTAACTGTTATCAGCCATATTTTACGAAGAATAAGACAAAAAGTCTTGGTTAAATGTCTTGATGTGTACATTGACTAAATAATGAGTAATGAGAAATCAATTAAAGCTGTTATGGACCGCAAGATGAAGAAGAGACAATGTGCTGATCAAATCTTGAGGTCTAGATACAGAGGGGATATATTGATTAAGGGTAATACTAACTGTTGTAATAGCTATAATCATAAAACCTGACTGAACTGCAGGATAAACAAAACACAGTCTCCATCAAGTAACAATGTTTATATTGATTGTAAAAGGTTATATTCATTTTTAAGCCACAACAGGAACTCAATTAAAACTTTGCATGCTTCAATACCAGCGAAACTCTTCATACAGAGCTTTTCAGCCACCTGTTGTTCACTTCAACAAACAAAAACCAGATAATACCAGTTCTATCCCAACACAAAATGGAATTTCCATAATTTGCACACACCTTCTGAATATTAATAGAAACATATGTTGTTTGCATTTCCAATATTTACCTGATAAAGAGCTAGACAAATGGGTCATATTTGTCTAAGTCATCTTCGTTACTATTCAAATGCACATTGGATAGTCAATTTGCACACCAGGTGATGTCGTTCAGTGGTCTAGTGGTTCATTGGCTTGCATTTCATGTTAGAGGTTGAGAATTCAAATTCCAGCATAGCACTGACACTATGAAAATGAGGGACAAAGAAAGCGGACGAAATATACAGTTCCTCAGGTAGATAAAGGAACATCCCTTCACTGCTATTTTGTAAAAATGTGTAGAACAGGTGAATATGCATGTGACACCTGTTCTACGCATTTTTACACAATAGCAGTGAAGGGATGTTCCTTTGTCTACCTGAGGAACTGTATATTTTGTCCGCTTTTTTTGTCCGTCATGTTCATAGTGTGATGCCCTTTGGCAAGGAAAGTAATCATCATTTGCCACTCTTAATCAGAACACAAAAAGTGCTTGAGAAAGAATTTCTGGCAACTCGGTACCGAGGTAACCATATATTAGAAGGTTCTTGCCTATGACACCAAGGTGAAAAGTGGCGGATGTAGATAAACGTCTTTCAGGAAGACATACTGTACATGTACGTTGTGTAAGGGCTGAGCTGGGGATTGAACCTACAACCGTCACATCCACAGTCAATTATTGAAAGCACTCAGCAACACCTCTTTCAAACACACCCTGTTCAAAACTTACGTGATAATGTGAGCTCAATATTTAAAAGAGGGTTGTTTTCATCTAGATAAATGCCCTGCAGAGGGACAAAAATTCTGAGCTAGGGCTTTGAACCTACAACCTTCACATCCAAAGTCGAGTATTGACACCACTCAAAACTTACCTGATAATGTGAGCTTGATAAACGGGTCGTATTCGTCTAGTTCTTCGTCTGACTCCGGGTCCCAAACATCCAAGTTCTTGATGTTGATGGTGGACGTACAGGCCCGTAGCTCCCCTGTAGCTCCATGGTAGTACTTAAAACATACCTTCGTTAAAGCTGTAATAGAGAGAGAGAGAGGGAGAGAGAGAGAGAGAGAGAGGGGGGAAATTATATTACATAACGTGACCTACAAAAAGTGTATAGTGTACATACATGTATATATTGTAATAGTGGTGGTTATTTTACCTGATAGCTAAGAAAGCAATAATTGCTTGTTAGTAAGCAACCAGAAGACCGACGGCTTAAGGTCCTCTCCGAGGGACCTGGTAATGAGGATTAATGCCTTACCAAGGGGCACTAGCGCATTGCCTCGGTTTTGAACCCGGGTCACCGGAATACGAGACCACCCCTCTACCGACTGAGCTATCGCGCCTCCTCATATACAATAAGAAAGAAACAAGTTCCAAAAATATCATTACAATACCGCAATACCGCTCTGGATAGCTTGGATTTTGGTGAAAGCTGCATGCTAATGTTGATGAAGGTACCCTTTTTTAAATACCATTAAGTCAATGATGTCAATGTTTAAGTGTAAGCTTTAAGTGGGATCAGAAGTTGATTGTGTCAAAAAGACATACAAAAGGAGCAATAATAAAAGGTATGGAAGATAGATCTACAGAAATAGCAGCCACTGCAATACATCAAACAAATCATGCATTGATTAGTTCTGGCCAACATCTTGAGTGAAAGTGCATTATCTGGACATCTGTAAAGGTCAATGATTTCATAATCCTCAAGCACATGACTAATTAGCCTTATTTTCCTGTCCTTGCGTTACTCAGACCACAATGACCACAGACATTGACCTTAACTGAAGGCTGGACATGCTCCTTGTTGGAGTCAGCAGAATAATTTTGATACATCATTGATATTGAAAGTGGACTGAGGCCGGCCCCGGAGGCGGCTCGACGTACATTTGTGTAACATCAACTTTTTTGAAAAGCCAGACTGAGGCCGCCTCCATCCAGTGATTCCAGTCTACCTCTAAGTTTAACACGCTTTAACGAGACCCAGCGGTAAAACACTGTAGTTTTCACTTTACAGCATCCTTAAAAGGTCAAAGGATCTAGTACAGAACCTTAATATGCATAAGTAAAACATCAAAGACTATATACCTCGTACATGGGGCCCTCTCTTTCAGATTAACATACATGATGTAAAGTGCCTCCACAGTAATCATGATTGCTTACAATTGTTGCACATCCTGTTGGGTTTACAATGAAATTTCCTGCCAAATCAGTGGCTTTCATGACAAAGAAACATATTTTTGAATAGTCATCTTATTGAGGTATGTGACTGCAGCGTATGTGTGACTGTGTGTGTGTAAAGGGGGATGGGGAGGGGGGGGGGGGCCTTCAAAAAAAATTAGAAACATGTTACCTCATCCCTCTACCCTACATTGCCCCCATCCATTTAATAACAAATAAAATGATGAGAAAAGATTATATAAATTTTAAACAATAAGGAACAGCTAGCTGGAAGATATTATCCTAAATCTGCAGGCCTAAAGAATCCACCTGTATACTTTGATACAGGCATGGAGATTCAACACCAGCATTTTGCTATATATTCCCTCCCCAGCGGAAACTCTTTTTTTTTCTTTCAAAGAAGCTCTTTTGCAATTCCCTTCGGAAAAGTGAGATTCTCAGTGATTTTATATGTGGACTGTATTTGATATCTAGCTATTTATCAGCTTTTATAGGTTATTCTTTCAAGATTTCCTTTCCTTGTTATACATTGATCAGGTTTTTACATCTGACAATAACATAAAATAAAATAAAGTAAAATCAAATAAATTTGTTTAAAACATTTGATAAAACACTCTTTCACCAGTTGTACAGGTGTATGCTAATTTACTGTTCATAGATGATTTTTAAAATAATTAGCAATTGTCTAGGTGTAAACTTTTTTTGGACTCACACCGTATAGCTCTCATTTCTGAACAGTATCTCTCCTTTTTGTAATTTGCTGCCTCTCCCCCACATCCCCCTAAAAACTAATGCTAAATTTTAGGAAGTAAACAACACATCTGCCATTCTTTCTTGGCACAACGAGCAAATAGGCAGGAAACATGTCATATAGCACGTATTATGATGATGTTAGTTGGGAAACGGTGGCAAAACGTTGATCAACTCGAAGGCTTGATGATTAATCTTTTACAATATCCAGTATAATGCACGCTATGTATAAAACAAAACACTAGAAGAACATGTACATGTCATGTACAAACAATGTTAGATTTGTAAGCCTACAACAAATAGTATGTACTTGTATGTACCGTAAATCTCCGTGTATAAGGCGCACCTGTGTATAAGGCGTGACCCTATTTTGGGGGCAAAAAAATAAAAAAATAAATAAAAAAATAAAAAATTGTTTTTTGTTTTGTTGTTGTTGTTGTTTTGTTGCCGAAAACCCACGCGGGGAACAACCTTCAATTTACATCGAGGTGCAGTTGAAGTTGTGAACTTGTCACAAATAATAGTAACAACAGTCTAAGGCTTCATGATACCAAGTGTCCCACACCAGCCTCATCACATCACCTAGCAGAAGCACTGTGTTCTATGCCAAACATCAATAGTCATGCATGATATGAATAGCATCCTCTAAATTTCTGACAATGGAGTACCTAGGATAGAACCTTGTGGTACACCATTTGTTATAGAAAAAAAAATTGAGGAATTATTATTATAAACTACATAATGAGATCTATTAGAAAGATTACTTTCAAACCAAGATGACAGACAAATTTGAGTGTTGTTGTAGTTTCCGAGTGGTGAGTCAACACACTGATTACTGAGCTAGGTAGGAGACATTGCCAGGTAAAGCGCCATAAATCGAAACTATAAAAAAAAAAAAAAAAAAAAAAAAAATTCTGTACCTGTGTATAAAACGCAGCGCACCCCCGACTTTCAATTTTTTTTGGCGGCAAAAAATGCGCCTTATACACGGAGATTTAAGGTATATTTGTCATGACTACACAAAAATCACATAAGTTCGATTATTTGTTCTTCAATTAAAATATTCAACAACAAAAATTGTGATTGATCATCTGACAAGCCAGTATCATGAGATAAAGTTGATTTCTGGGCAAGCGATCACAGCATGAAAGAAACAGTGTATGTAGGTCATCAGAAGTATTTGATACAAATACCTTCATTAAACAACACAAAATGAACATGTTTCTAATTTTCCGTTCAAGTGTAAAAAATATTCATTTACTCAATGGAGGTGTAAAAACTTCATATCAATTGCTAGCATAACTTTACAGAATCAGATACTATGCATTTGATTCTGAACTTTTTCTTTAGAGCTAGATTGCAGTATTGTTGTCTGTTTATCATCGTTTCTTCTTCCTAAATTCATTTCCCTCGCCTTGACATCTCAACAAAGTCACCTCCAACTATTATTAGAAGGGAAAGAAGTATCTCGTTCATTTGTTATTATTATTTTTCTGTAAACTTTGATTTGATGTGCACAGCAAACAGTCTTCATTATCTGCTTGATAAATGCATTATTTTTTTTAGTCTTTTTAGTTTTTAAAAATCAAAACAAGGGTCCAGTTAGCAAATGCAATAATAATAATAGACTGAACCAAATTTCTCATCTACACATGAAGCATAATCCTGACGATCCACGTCCTTAAAAAAAGGGTTGACACTACCAGGTGCCAGAGACAAATTGGCTCCCAAAATCTAAGTCCAGACATCTATCTTCCCTCCCCACTCCCCCTCCCCCAAACAAGACATATATATATTAATAATAATAAATAAATAAAAGAAATACAAATTTTAAAAGATGAATAAAATCAACAATAAAGTTTTAAAAATATTTTTAAAATAAATAAAAATTGTTACATAGGGCTCAGGCATGCAGGCTCTAACTTTAAAACCCCAAATCTAGACCCCTTTCCAAAAAACTTAGTTCTGCGCCCTGCTTTGAAATTGCATGGGTTATACGAGGGCAACTGAATGGACCTGGGTTATATTGCTTCTTAAGAACACAACACAACAGCTGTTTTTTTGTTCAGTTCCAGGTTTATCTACGGACCTTGTAAAGGTCTGTAATTCCTGGACCTAGATAGTGCCATTAAAAGTCCTGGGACATCCTGAATGAAACATGTCCAAAAACCTAAATGACCTGTTTTAAACCTATATCTTACTTCCCTGGTACAACTAAAGCAACTTGGTTTGGTTTGAATACCTGGGCCCTGCTTCAAAAAACTTGCAATAGCAAGGGTGTTATCAGGATGCAACATCCCCTGAGCCTTAAAAACAACTATTCCTCTCATAGGAGTCATTATATCTTTAATATTTACTAATGAGGCATATTTTAACATTTAAACCAATCTCTTGATGGACATGATGAGCTACAAAAGAGTATATGGGAAAAATAAAGAATCTTCACATGATCTTATCACATATTTTCAGACATTACACTATAAGCTTCCATGCACCCTCCCCTAAGTACAAACAATTTGTCTTGAGTTTTTCTAGTAGTAGGACATATTGGCGAAACATAACCATAATTAACATGAAATGCTAGAAGGAAAACAACACTGTTAAAAAATATTAAAAGAAACAATTTTGACATCAGAGACTTAAATACAGAAAATGCGGTACATGCTTTCCCCCAACCCCGAAACTCAAGTTCTTTGTCTAGTATTTTACTAATTAAGCTTATAATATTCAAAACATTTCAATCAATCTTCTTGAAGATTTAAAAAAGTGCTATGAGCTAATTAAAGAGAAATAAAAGAGAAAAAATCTTGACATCAAAGATTTTCAGACAATACACTAAAAGCTTCCCCCCCCCCCCCTCCCCAAACTAGAGTTGTTTGTCTAGAATTGTACAAATTAGGCATATTTTCAATCATTTCAATCATTTCAATTAAACTCTTTATAGACATAATGCTACAAAAGAGGATAATAAGGAAAGTTTTGGGGAAAAAATATTTTGAGAAAGGATCTTGACGTCATAGATTTTCAGACAATACACTCAAAGCTTCCCCCTCCCCGCCCCCAAACTCAAGTTGTTTGTCTAGAATCGTTGCTAAATAG